GGGGTAAAAAGGCATATTTTTTTTTTTTACCTTATTTGGATACAAAAGGCATTTTTAAACCTTATTTCAGTACAAAAGGGCTTCCATCTTCACATTCCAGGGCAGCTTTGAAAATAATGGCAAACAGACCATGAATGGTATACTAATTTAATGAGAATAGAACCGCTGGGAAACCATTTCCGACACGAATAACAAGTACCATCATATTAGAACTGAGAAAACCACTTGAATGTCTAGAAACTATGTAAATTTTGTCACGCAGATGCAGACACTGACCCTTAGCACAAAGAGGAGAGTCTACTCTGAATGGGTTATATACACTTATTGATCTGTGATATATATCAGAATCCAGAGAGTCATGCAAAATTCATTGTCTTTCTATGTTCAGTCCAGTGGTTTCATCAGATCATAAAATGGACTGTGCAGGAAGACATGGTTTTTGAAATACTTGATGTTGTAAGTGATTTGGTGTTTCATATCACGCTTGCTAATCGGGTGTTATCTAATGTATCCTATGGAGTCTATGGATTTGGTTATTGATGTTTACTTTTACGAGCTGGCTGAGTTAATTCGCTATTTGATGTGCGTTCCTCTTCCAGAATCCGCGAGCAGATCACGCCAGGTGCATCAAGGAATACAGCCGCTCCTCTGCTGATCAGGTAAGGTGTTCTTTATACTAATTTTTTTATCATAATTATCAAAGTTGTGTAGAATCAAATTAAAAAAGAAAACACATTTCAGTTAATAACTTATGATGTTATGTTATGTATTGATGCCAATTGTTTTTGAATAATTATCTAAGTTAATTTTCTGTTCTTGAGTGACATCATAGACAATAGATCTGTATTTTGAGAACTTGATGCTGACAACTCTGTGCTCTATTAAAGTATCAGTATCAAAGAAGATATACCCATTTGTCATGATTTTATCTGGATCAAAACTGCATGAGGGCACTGTCCCTGTTATTGATGTTTTGAAACCTCAAAAACGTGTGAAATAATGGAGGTATCAAGTGTTTTAAGTGATAAATGATAAAGTTCTGTTCAACCTGAGGTTTAGTTGTTCTAGTATCACATCAAAGCTGTGGATGTCTGGGGATATGTGATTGAGTTGCGATAGGTATCGCTGACCGAGCAAATATGAGATAGAATTTGTAAATTTTTCAACCGGAAATTTCCCTTAGTAGCAGTATTCAGTTGAAGTCTATGATTTTCCCTTCTCACCCCCCCCCCCCTAAAAGGGATAAATAATAAGTGAAAATAATGGGATTTTCATATTTCAGATTTCCAATTTTGTCAAATTTAAAATTGAATTCAGTAAGAAACTTTTGATGACTTTTATGAAATTGCTCCAATGACCTTTGGATGAATTCCATGATACCGTCTGCCTTATTAACCAGCAGTAGTTTGATTGGTTGCATGTTGCAGATTATTACATTTTGAGAAAACAGGATTGAGGGAAAAAAATGTGCACGAAACTTAGCTCTCAGTTGCTACCTCTGTGATGAGATCTCATGGTATCTAATTTAAAAATCAATAATTGTGCAACGACAGTGAAATGGAGAGAAGAACTGATGCTAATTTTGTGGTTTAGAATTCTATGAAATTCTATTTCCTTCAGTCATTATTCTCAGAACTTCATTGATAGTTTTTATTCAGGGTTATTACCCTCAAAATGCCTTCATTTAGTTCTGTCACTTAAATAATACATTTTTGAACCGACTGAACCATAGAGGCCCTCTGGGGCGGAAGTTTGCAAGGGAAAAAAAGCGTTCAAATTGTTATTGACTTTTTAGCTCAGAAATGGCACTGACGCTCATTTGTTATAAGCAACTGACAGACACTGTCAAGCCAAAGTCCCTGGCTCCCTCCTAGTCTGTGTGGATACATACTTAAAAGCAGCATTTTGCTGTGTTTCCCTGGCAAAGTAGATTTGCAGTAATTGCCTTTTAGCATTAGCTCGGAGTAACATGAAGATATTGGTTACAGAGAAAACGAGTGGGCAGATACGGATACACCGTTATTGAATCTATCTGCTTTTCTACTGATAACTGTAACTTTATTTCGATGGTTCAAACAGAATGGTAAACCTTTCCTTTGCTTAATGGGTTGTGAAAAGCACTTTAAAGGCTGGTGATTGGTATAGAAACTTGTCAGCACTTGCCCCATTTTGAACTTTGGAAACTCTTGCAGTCTTGCAGAATCATATACAGAAGTGGAGATTAAGAATTAACAATTATTTTCAGTAAAATTGGTTGCTAATGTAGCTTTATTCAATTTTTTAAGCATACTTGAAAAAAATCTGGCAGCTTTTCTGATAATACTCTTATTTTAATTTTGACAAAATACAAAATTGGATCTTAAATGTTATCTTTAAAGGACGAGCCATTACCCCACGAGTTGCGCCCTGCTCCAGTGTTGGCGAAAACGATGGACTACATGGTGAATAACATCATGGACCGTGGAGGCGACGGCAAGTGGGCTGACTGGTATGAGTTTGTATGGAGCAGAACTAGAGGAATTAGGAAGGTAAAGAATTTATTTATATATATTCTTGTTTATTTAATTAATTATTTCTCTGGATGTCACTTTATCAAATTGTGTATGGGGTCTGGTTTAAAGTGTCATATTGTTTATCAAAAAAAATTTTTTTTTTACTACTGTGGGTACTGAGTCTTTCAGATATAATCAATTTTAGTCAGCAGAATTTATTTGGGTCTGATTTATCTATAGGAAATGAAACAAAAACACTGCCAAGAATAAGACAATTTATCAATATTTTCAAAAGCCACAACAGCCTCATTTGCACAGTTCTGAATTGTTTAAGCTTGGAAATTGAATTTGTTTAAATGCCATATGACATCATCAGACAGTTGATCAGCAGACTTCACGTATTACGTGTCAATCATCTCTGATTACTCGCCAAATACACAGCGAACCAATCAGCATTAGACTGTTATCACACATGACCTTATATGGCATGTCTTACTCAATTTTTATTTCAAATTGTCATGTGAGTGAATGTGACTTTTATAGGGTTCTCAAGGGGTCCCGCAATGTAATTTACCTTGGCCAATATTCTGGATAATTTGAATCAATTCAGATATTTGAACGCAATCATTGAAAAATATGTCTAAAAAAGGTGATCTGACATCTATATTTTCCATTACCAATTTTCAATTAGTTCTGCTTTTGGATAAAGAAAATTATACTTTATAGTAATTCCTCGATAAATTTGAACATCTTGAATTTTAAAAGAAAGAAAGAAAGAAAAGAAAGCACTTGAACTAATAACTGGGTTTTTAAAGTTAAGACCAACTTTCAAATGTGTGTGTGTGTGTGTGTGTGTGTGTGTGTGTGTGTGTGTGTGTGTGAGAGAGAGAGAGAGAGAGAGAGAGAGAGACCAGCCCCTGATTCCAACATCAGTTTTTTCATTCACTCTAGGACATCACCCAGCAACACCTCTGTAACGAGACGGCAGTCAGCCTCCTGGAGAAATGTACCCGCTATCACATCTACTGCTCTGAGAGGCTCTGTGAGGAGGGACCTGCAGTCTTTGACGAGAAAATCAACAACGAGAACTTGACCAAATGTCTTCAGAGCCTCAAGGAGCTGTATCACGACCTGGCCACCAAACAGAATATCTACTGCCCCAAGGAGGCCGAGTTTAGGGCATATATGGTGCTGATGAACCTGAATGAGGGAGATATCCTCAGGTAAATATTGGACAAATTAACCTAACATAGCTTTCCCAGGGGATCAAATATTGGACGTACTAATCTTAGGCCTGATTCAGAATAGTGGACTAACTATAGTCCTAGGGTCAAATATGGCTGACCCACTTGAATACTTCCACATGGGATATCTATTCAATGTCTATTAGCAGAATAGATGGCAAGCTTTGTAGCGGGTCATTAGTTAGTCCCCTATTCTGAATCGGGCCTCACACAGCTTTCCCACGGGATGAAAATGTATGCAGCTTACATGGCTCTGAAGAACCATATTTAAGGCGATATGCTTTTATGAATGACAAAGATATTTGGCACAAGATAAAGGTGGCAGTACATTTCTTTTTCTGGATTTTTTAATACTCTACTGTCAAACTGCTGAGATGTGAATTTCTGTCAGATCATTTTATCATAATATTGATATTTCTACCTCCAGAGAGGTGCAACAACTACGAGATGAGGTGCGACATTCCAAGGAAATAAAGTTTGTGCTAAAGGTATGGGTATTTTTATTTTGACATGTACAAATGCTTAAGTGAATACATGATAATATTGTTTTTTATCATAAAGTATAGATTTGACTGTCAGAGTCAGATACTTGATTTGTAGCAGAAAATGTGGATATTTGACGTATGAATATATGATGGAGCAAACCAATCTATGATCTACAAAGCTACTTCCACTAACCAGAAAGTATAAATAACAAAACTGACAATTCCATTGTAATTCTATGGTGGTGGTGGTTTGGGAACAGTAATATTATTATTATTATTATTATTATTATTATTATTATTATTATTATTATTATTATTATTATTATTATTATTATTATTATTATTATCAACCATATTGTGTCTGTAAACTAGTTCTCTGATTAAAATTGAGATGTTATGAATAAAAAAGTTTTATTCAGTATATCCCATTTGATTGCAGGTGTACAATGCCCTGAACAGTAACAACTACATCAAGTTCTTCAAGTTAACCCATCAAGCCACCTTCCTCAATGCCTGTATCATGCACAGATATTTCAACCAGGTCAGACAGAAGGCTCTGCTTATTATGCTGAGGGCGTACAAAGGAGGGCCCACTGTCACTAATGTAAGTGTATGGCTGTGTGTGTGTGTGTGTGTGTGTGTGTGTGTGTGTGTGTGTGTGTGTGTGTGTGTGTGTGTGTGTGTGTGTGTGTGTGTGTGTGTGTGTGTGTGTGTGTGTGTGTTTGCACACATGCGTGCATGCAGGCAACAATTGAGCATGTTTATCATTTATCAATATTTTTAACAGGTGGGACAGAAGACAAACTAATTTGACTATGGACATTTTGATAGTTTTGTCTGTGAGTAGGTTGGGGGGAGAGATTTAATAGCCTAGAGATATTTTTCATCTCTTTTTGATATGTTGAATGGGCATCTTTCCAGTTCCCAGTGAATGAAATGCAGCGTCTCCTGTGTTTTGAGAATGCCACAGACACCCGAGATTTCTGTGAGTTCTATGGCCTGCACACAGATGGTGATTATATCCACCTGGACAAGAATGCGTTCATACGCCCCGAGACTTCTATGGGGAACAGACGCGCAGTGGAGTTAATAGAGAGCAAACAGACTGTTTCTGTAGGGGAGGTGAGGCATACGCTGAGTAGATACATGAAACTCTTTTTTTTTAGTTTTTTCTTTGATTTTGCTTTAAAAGGAGTATTTTAAAAACAATTCTTTTGAAAATGACAATTTTGTATCTAGGATTGTTGCTTTTGATCAATAAGAGGCAATTGAAAAATTAATCATATTATTACTTTAAACATACTGGAATTAGTAATTACTGGAATTAGTAATTTTTTAAAAGCAATTTATTTATTTTTTTCCATATTGCAGTTTTAGTTGCACTTGTTTGGAATAATTATCATCCTCGTGGTATTTGCATTTGGTTCAAAACTTTTCTTATGAAAATGTAAGATGCATTCGTCTTCTAATGGTTTATTGTTTCACCCAGCTGATATTTCTTTTTATTCCTCAAACTGAATCTGCTTCCAAATAGATATGGCACAAAAAATTATTTTGTATTATTGCCATCACACTGTAACTCACAACACAATTTATTTGGATCTTAAAGGTAGTGAATGGAGAAAAGCTGCCACCAAATGAACTCATTATTCCTTTCTCAAGTTTTGATGACAGAGGACATTATAGGGGAGAGATGGTGCAAGGCTTCACAGGTAAAAAACTGGTCAAGTGTCATGTGATGTGTAGTGAATAAATACACCAAACATGAATATTTAGTGTTTTACCTGGATCCAAATGATATGACGTACCCCCCTCACACACACACACACACACACATACATAAACACGCACACACACACAATATTAAACAATTTGTCTCCTTCTGAATAACAGAACTTAAGGTTTCACAGTTGGTACGTATCTTTTGATGAAATCATTATTCTAACTTTAACAGACAGTTAAAATCTTACTCCTATAAAATAATTATATCATCCCTTTCCTAGAACCTGAACCCAGCAGTGAGGAGCAGAGCACCCCTGAGGAGCCCCCTCCACCCTACGAGGCCTCTCCCGTGCCCTCACCTCTCAAGTTTGACAAATACCCAGGAGAGGTATGCTACTTTAATTTATAGACTGTAAAAAAGGGGAGGGGTTATCTTCTTTAATCTTCTACTTTTTTCTTCTCCAAACAGCTTGTTCATATAATCGTAAGGTCTGTAATACATGCTTATTTAGTAAATGCAGATGCAGATTTTTAATCTGATCTGAAGTGTTCTTTATATATATTTACTAAACAAAAAGATTTTGAACTCTAGGACACTTTGAAAGTAACTGATTCAGTATTATGTTTCAGACTTTTTAAGTCAAACTTTAAAAAAAAGACATGCTCTTACCAGGACTTAGGCCTGAAATATTTCACAGTCGTCATAATTAGTCCTCTTTGCTCTGTTTCTCCAGGCTGTGAAGGGCATTGCTAAGGAACTTTTCCTGGAGGTGATAGACGAGATGTCCAAGGACATGAGCAGGACGCTGGTCCAGGCTGCCCAGATGTACCTGAACTCAGACAAGGACGTCTATGGGGAGATTGAGGGAGAAGTTTGCAAGGATGTGGCTAGGTTAGTTTTCATTCACTAAATCATGTTGTTTGGGGAAACTATATTTTAATAACTGTTAAAGCATAACACAGCTGATGAAATTTGTTCTCAATTGCATTTTCAAGCTTTCTGATCCGTGTAAATTTCTTAATGTTTTCTACATGCATTTACAGTAAAATATGGTGATTGACCTGTATGCATATTTAAACAAGAGCATATTTAAACAATAGGTGGCACCACTGATAAAGATACTACTTTTTCAGATCTGTTTCCCAAGAGGTTTATAACGAGGCCATGCAGAAGCTGCGGGAGGAAGAGGAGCAGAAGAGGCGGGAAGAAGAAGAGCGGCAGACGGCGCTGAGCAAAGAGAGGGTCACTAAGGTGGAGTGTGATGAGCTGCTGGAGGAAGTGGTCACGCAGGAGTGCAAAAACATGGCAACCATTGAAATCAGGTAAGAATCGAGATATTTGTTATTCTAAAAATATATGTGCACATTTGATACTTTAAAAATGTATGATAAATTTCTTAGATGCACATTAGGTTATTTTGTCTCACATTAGAACTTTATTCTTTCAAGTGTCTGTATGCAGTAGTTATCAGCATTGCTGTCTGTTATTCCTTTAAAAAGTAAGATGAAATGTTTTTTCAAATACATGAATTTGACAAAAATAGACATAAGCAGCTGACATAACTTTTGACAGATTGACTTGATTTGATTCATTCCTTTCTTCAGGGAAATCCAAGCAAAGTTAAAGGAGGAGAGAATACAGCGCTGCACAGATGAAATCTCAAAAGAACTGGTAGAAACAGCCGCCCTGGAGGAGATTTTGAGGGTTTCCAAGGAGGTTTACCAAACCGATGTCATACAAAGACTGCAGGAACTCGATGAGTGCGAAAAGGGGGTAAAAACCATGCGACAAGCCCGTTTCTTCAAATGCTGGGTCAACATGTACATGGGCCGTATGCGTCTGAAGAGGTCCATGCTGGCTTTCCCCTCTGCCCCCTCCAATTATACCTCATCTGAACAGCTGGAGCAACTGATGCCAGAGAGAGAAGAGGTGGAGATGAGCCAAGATTTTATGCCTCTTGGAAAGAGGGCACGCTTGACAATAAGAGACCCCACTGATTTGGTCGAAAAAAATTCCCGGTTGACGAGAAGTGTGGTTTTGAAGAAATTCATGCAGCGATTGAGGCATGAGCATGCCTGGGCACCGCTTGATATACCAGCTCTGATTGGTGGAAATTTATGGAAGATTTGGGACGGAAAGTTTGATGGTAATGTAATCATATTAAGTTCCAAAGTTATTATTATTATTATTATTACTCATTTATCCTTAAATATTATACTGTGGTTTAAAACATTGGTGAACAACTTTTAAAAATATCATTTGAGAAAAAAGTGGTGAGAATACTTTTAGCAACCTACTATTTTATTGGTGAATTTATGTGAACAGTATATAATAGCAAGAATTTATATATTTTTCTTGTCAATTTTTACTTTTAATTTTCTATAGGCCCAAACATGTACTGGAAGGTTCTGCTGAGTTTACCAGAATGTCATGAAGAGGAGATGAAGCAGTTCAACAACTGGCTGGTGGCAAAGTTCAGGAGGGGGACCCTATCTGGCTGTGACAACTTACAGCACAGGAAGGTAACTGCTTGGGGAAGCGTGGTTTTTTTTTTGATTGGTTGGTTGATTGATTTACTTTAAGATATTTGAATACATATTGAGTTGGATGTAAAATGGAGATGTATGCATGCAAAAAAAATGTTCTAATTGTCTTTCATTTGAAAATTAAAAATAAAATTTGAATCACTTTCTTTTGTGAGTTTTCCTTTATAGGTGTTAATATTTTAAGTGAGAAGTGTGCAAAATAATATGTAAATACTAGAAATGTGTATGCAATATATTTTACAGAGCACCCTCCTTAGTCTTTATTCGTCAGAATTAGACGATTTACACCCACAAAGCCAGGTTAGTGTGTGTGCCAGAACACTAGAGGGCACTCTCACAGAAGACAGCATCAGTGATATGGAGGAGAAACGGCTCCTCTTGGGCAGCAGTGCCATTATTTTTGTACTAGGGCCTATGCAAGATGAATCCAGAGCACAGGTAAATGTTTTATTTATTATTATTTTTTTTACTTTTCATTCAATTATTATTATTTATTATTTCGTATCGTAAAGTCTACTGAACATGATTATATTTTAGACTTTAAATTATTATTATTATTATTATTATTATTATTATTATTATTATGTTGGGTTTCCAGGAGTACTGGTTAGAGGAACAGCTGCGTCTGGCCAGAATCTTGCAAGCCAAACCAGTGGACCCTGCCCTGCCCCTACTGCTGGTCTCCTGGAGAGATGACCTATCAGTGGACATCCTGTCCCGGTCAGACATGTTGAATCTGGATGTGTTCCTGGCTCAGGATTTGATCTCCGCTGTGGAGATAGTTAATGTGGGGGACCTGGAGGATCTGCAGTCTTGTAGTGTGGTGAGGACACTGCTGTTTCTATTGTTAAAGAATGTGGAAATTAAATCTCAATGCTGGTGGTTTAAGTACGGTGTTAGGTTGTATGAGCTAAACTTTTTTGTCTGTACTGTGTCCCATAGATTTTATCAGTACGTATGCTTAGATTATCCAACACTCATAATACATTGCTTAAAGTTTTCAGGATTATGCCTGAATGTATGATTTTAGTCTTCATTTTGATCATTTTTTTCCTATGGTCTAAATGCAATGAGAAATTATCTTTGTTGATCCATCCTCCATTTTTTACTGTCTTCCAACAGAAAAAAATTGGATGCCTGTGATTTAAAAAATTCTGACTGTCTTCTGGAAGACCCAGAAGATGTCCTCAATCCGCCCCTGAAATAACACAAAAGGACTTAAAAATACTTAACTTTTTCCACCATGTTTCCAGTTGACCAGTGGAGTCCAGTGGCTGAGTGACCACTGCCCCGCCCCGCCATCATTGACCAGACAGGAGATACGGGAGTACGTGGAGGACTTCATGGCCAAAGAGTTTTACGTCCCTGTCTATCAGGACCTGGCCAACAGGAAGAAGCAGGGACTGCTACATCAGGTGAGAATGTGAACTGTACAGTAGATGGATAGATAGATGGAGGGATGGTTTTCCATTAAGTAAAATGTCTGTCATTGTGTCAAAGCTCTTGATTAAACATATAAAAGAAGTGCCACAGCCTTTGCCAACAACTTACTCATGTATACAGATTACTTCCATATAAAAGTGCATAAAAAAATTTTATAGCAAACAGAACATGCTAACACAGAACACAAAATGGTTGTCATGCAACATAATTTCACACTTTTAAATGTGCCATATTTCACGTCAATCTTCCAGCCCCCTGATGTGTTAATCAACCTGTACAACTCTGTGGCCATGCACCTAGTACAGGTGGGCTCTTCGCGCACACTGTCGCAATTCTCCTGGCCACTGCCCGAGTTTGCTGCCACACACCACGGTGAGGACCTGCACATTTATAAACGTGTTTACTTTTTGTAATGAAGCGAGAAGGGAAATTAAGGGCCTTTTCACATCGAGGTGGACAGTTTTCTGTTCTTCACCAGTTTGACAAGTGAAGCAGCTGACTTACGTAGAAATCAGGCTGTTAAATTCTCTCTCAAATTAGAACATTACCATTGATGTGAAAGTGGCCTAAATCTCATACTGGAGACTTGCATACAGTAGATAAGATCTGCTTAGTTTCTTGATGAACTAACTCTATGGTATAAAGTTGAAACAAAATTAAACACGATGGGTCCCATAACTAACATTTAACTTAAAATTGTTATTTTGAATAATTATCAACTCTAGGACTCCCAGACCAGTCTTGGAACACAGAAGACACGCTCTCTCTAATCGAGGATGTACTCTCCTCGCTGACATTGCCAGAGTTTGACCCCGTGGACTGGGAGACGGAATCCTGGGAGAGTGCTGTCAGGGATGTCTGGGCCTACGTAGAGGCTGTGGCGGAGTCAACTGACGCTGATGCTGCGGCTCTGTGTTCAAGGTTAGCAGATTTCTTTTTCTATTTGTCTTAAAATGTCTTTTAAGTTTGATTGCCATTTCCATCTGTTTTGAACCATGGATTTTTAGAAGTCCAGTTCTTTGGTACAAGTGTTTCCTTTAATTTTAGCAAACTTGAATTTTCAACACATCAATACCCTCTTCCTCATGTGGTAATGGACTTGATTGCATGCAAATTTTTTATTTTTTCATTTATGAAAGATTTTAGACCACACCCCCTCCCTAAAAAAAGAAGAAAAAGAGTAAATATATTTAGTAAAAAATTATTTCCTTTCCTAGGATCCAGAGAGTGATATACAAGGTAGAGCATGACTATGATGAGACCTGCTACCTGAACTATGATTTGAATGGCTGCCGCCCCTGCTATGTCAACATGCCGTGGACAGATATCATCATAGCCTGTGTCAACCATCAGCTGACTTCACTAGACTTTCTGGACATCATGTCTGCCACTGAGGCAGGTTTTGTTTGCATCTCTCTCTCTCTCTCTCTCTCTCTCTCTCTCTCTCTCTCTCTCTCTCACACACACACACACACACACACACACACACACACACACACACAGTTCTTTCAAAACTTAGCTAGCACAGACTTCACATTCACAAGATAACATGACAAGATATCTGTAAAATCTGTTTGTTTATCTAAGTTTATAGCCTGGTTGTGAAAATAAGGGCAAAATAATTCAATGGTCATTTAATACAAGTAACCAGACATTGTTTTTGATTATTTCCATTATACTAACTGTTATCAATTTTTTCCAGACTGAAGATGAGCAGGAAATAGTGCTGCATTATCTGGCAGAAGAACTGAATGACTTCAGCCCACCCTCTGAGTGGAAACAAGCAATAAGAGACATCCGAGACAGTAAGTATTTTGAAGGTCTTTGGACACTATGCCCACTAGGTGTTAAATAGCAAAGAAAAAAAAAAATAATAATTTTCACAGAAAATGGACAATTCAGCAAAGTGAACCCTCTCCAAAACTGTTGAGAAAATTAAGATCTGTATCCTGTTGTTGAGTCAATTTTTTAAAAATTTTGTATGAAATTCCTGACCAGAAAAGAATTGCTCAGTGTTATCACGCCATAATAATTAAGATAAAATATTAAGTGGGTAACAAATAGAAAGGTAAACACATTTGATATGATAATCCCTTGGGAGTAAGCTAAACTGGTAGTATGCAATGGCTAAAAAAATGGATATGCTTCTCAAATATCAGGTTTTTAATTGCATTTCAATTTCTGACTTAAAGTGTCATTAACAATAACTTTGACAGAAAAACTATTCAAGTGTAAAATATTATTATTTTTTGTATCATTATCATATAATTGATGAACTGATATAAGTTATGCTTCCTTCAACAAATTACAAAAAGAAATAGTTTTTTTTCATTTTTCATCTCTTTGAAAGGCATTTAATGTAGGATATATAAGAGTGAAATGCTTCAGGTGTGCTACCAAAAAGAAGAAGATCCTTTCCCTTTAAGCCACATTAACAACTGGTGCTACTGAGAATGCTACATGCCAACTAATGCAATTGTGACTGTGTCACACCTAACACAATATGGGGTACTTATGGTATAGTGTGGATATTATAGATTTATATGACTATTACCTCCTTGGTAGGAGGAGGGAAATTCATGGCATTTGTTATGTCATATGATGGTTCTGGTTTCTTTTTAGATACAAGCAGTGATTTATCGTTTCTTTTTCTCTTTTATAAACTTGAGGAAAATGTGTTATTTTTTAAATGTGAATAGTAGTGTATAAGGGCAAATTTGGTCTGTCAGAATTTGAAAGTATTGTGATAAAAAACAAAAATGAGGATACTGATGCATCTTCTGTTACAGGTAGTGGGGTCAGACTGTTTTGTAAATATTTTAGACTGCAGTTTAAACAACAACTTTAAACTTTTCATCTCATGCCAAGAGTTACAGAAGCTAATCAGTCTGACTAGAATATTGATAACATCACAGTTTGTGTAGTGTGGTAAGGTCACCTTGTTTACCTCTCACTGTTAGATTTTCTGCAATAAATCTCATTGCGCCACCTTTCACAAATTATGTGTTTAAGACCTTTAGGAAACAGTTGTAAGAGTTTAAAGAGTTTTTGCACATTTAATTTGTGAAACACTTGTTAGGTGCATTTTAATGAAAGAAATTGTCTTTTCTCTTGTGAATCTTTTTTTTTCTTTCATTAAAAAGTTGCAATTTATTTTAAGTGACAGCAAAAAAGATTTAAGCATGCAAAAAAGATTTTTTCTAAACTTGCCAAGAACCTCTCTATTAGGTTGCAAAATCAAGACTTATTCAGCAATTTATTTTACTTTATTTTTTATTTATTTTACTACATCAGTATTTTAGGGAAAGAAAGGTGCCCTTGAAATATTTAACACCAACAGTTAAAAAAAACAAAGATTTTACACAATAGAAGTTGCATATTCATTCCATTTAACTGTTTAAATTTTGGATTCAACCTTTTTAAATATTATTTAAAAAATATTGTAGGAGATGGGTTGGTTGAGGTTCAAGTTGCCATTAATTCATGTAGTTCAAATAACTGGGTAATTACCATACTGGTTTGCTGGTTTTGGTAGTCTTACTCTCACAGTGGCCATGCTCTGTTGCTGACATGGAACTAATGTCTAGCAAATTAACAGGGTTCACCCTGACGTCAACTATGAGTGAAAAGACGGCACATCTAGTGGCTCAGTGACGTGTTGAAATGTTCAAAAAATTACTTGTGGTTAAAAGTGATTTATTTTTCTAATAGAAAATGAAATAATTATTATTATTATTTATTTATTTATTTATTTATTTATTTATTTATTTATTTATTTATTTATTTTATTTTTTTATTTTTTTTGTAAATTTTACATGCATTAGGTATGACAAACTTTCCACTTTTTGTTTTTGACTTGCCTGATATGTTCACCTTTTCTTTTAATATAATAAATCTATGTTAAAGATTAAAAATCAGATAATTTAAAGTCAGATGTAGCTAATTTTTTACAAAATAAAAATGCTATAACTCAAACTGGTACATTAAGAAGAATCTGGCCAAACAGACAGTTTGGCCAATTTTGTCTGAATTAAATGGCTGTTCCCAAGCCCATAGGCTTAAGGAGGTTCAGGGGCTTCGAAAGAAAAAAAAAACCTTTTTGGTGAGAAACGGTCAACTGCCAATCAAAATTTAATCTAGATTTTAAGCCAGATGTCATGTTGTGTCTACCAAGTGGGCAAAACGGTTCACATTTCAGATTACAGTCTATGGAGAGATTACAATCTTAGTCGTATCAGTTCTAGATATTTGTGACATTGTGCTGTTGATAATATTACATTATCGGAGATAGTATAATACTGAAATACCCATAACCTAGTGTGGGTCTGGAAATGTTGAGGTGTGTTGCTATCCATGCCAATTAGAATAGAATAACTGTTAAAAACAAAAGATGACATCTGTCAAATTGTGAATGCAGATTTGTAGCCAATGAAAATCATTTCTAGTAAAGGTGCTTAGTTTGGCTACAATCACTATTTGGATATGTAACTTATTTTTGTTTCTTGTGCCTAATGTGTGGGTTTCTAGAGCAAGTATAGATGTGAATTGTATTTTTTAAAATCATAAGAAAACTTATTTTCTCACAAAAAATATCAATTGCAATGTATCTTCAATGGAGAATTATGATTATTCCATTGCTTCTATAATATTAAAATAAAGGAATTACAAGCTGATTGCCATACAATAGACAGAAGCATATATTTTAAGCAGTTTCAGGAAATGAAAACCTGCCAAGGCAGAATCATTGTCAGCCAATAATTGCCTATTACTATATAAACCTTATTGGACATAAGCATTAGACTGTGTATTGATCTATTCTATTATATTGTTCTCTCTCTCTGTAATTTCCTTTTTTATATAGATTAATTGATTTAAGTGCCCAGGTTATTCATTTTTGGTTACTAGATAATATATAGACTTGTTTTTATAGATATTTATTATTATAATACAGATGTTCATGTTAAAAAGATCTCAATTTATTCTGTGAGCTCTTTTTGGTAAAGAACTCCACATATTTAGGGTCTCTTCACTGTTAAAATTCTAAAAAAAGTGAACCAATCTTTATTTTATTTCAGCTACAGTGGAAGCGAACTTGCAGGATACATTCTCAAGGGCTGCGGCAAAAAGGAAAGCCGAGGTCATCCTCAATGCAAGAGAGGAAGGTTTACACAAGCAGTCAGTCAAAGAACCAGGAGAACTTGGATACACCACTACATATGTAGATCTCACCACCATGGTCCCAGAATATGTTGCAGCAATGGACAGGGCACACCTTTTGCAAGAGCGACTTGCCCAGGAGAAAAGACTGTCTCAAAGTTACGAAGAAAATTTGAGACTGCTGATGATGGAGGGAGGAAAGGATGAATGTCAGGATTTGGATGGTCCGTTGTTTGTGCATACAAACCCGTTGAGGAACTATGGCAGTATTGGATCAGGGATTATAGATCTTACGCATGATGATGATGAGGTTATGATTGACCTTGACTTTCAAAGGTCAAGGTCATCACCTCTGAGCAGAAGCTTTATTATGATGGAAGCAGAACAGTCTAAAGAGATTTTCGTAAAGTCTTCTCTGTCAGATAGTTTTATGCAGTTTGAAAGAGCTATGCAATCAAGTAGAGAGGCTGAGAGACTGTACGAGATGAAATTGCAGGCTTTGGCAAACAACTGAAACATTTGTATATAAAGAATTTGCTGGTTGATAGGAATAAAGAATCTTCAGAGAATTTCATTAATTGTATAATTCAGAAACAAATAGTTCTTTTTATACTGACACTTTGTGTAATGTCTGTATGAACACCAGTTTCGTGAACTTATAATTTTTTTTTGGGGGGGGGGGGGGAGAAGCCACCTTTAAAAATCATGATAAAAGAGTTGAAAGTTAAATACATGTATTTTTATTTTACTTATTGGATGGAATGTGAACATTCTACTGGTAGTTTTCATTTTGTAAATACAGTGTAAGAAGAAATGAGCATAGGTTATATTCATCTATCATAACTTGTGATAAACATCAAGAAGGCCTGACAGAAGATGTATGCCAACTAACAGTAAATTATGTTATCTTACATAGTTATTAATTATGGTTTCGACTACCATTGCATTATAATGAATTATGGTTTTGAGTATGATAACGTAATTATGAATTATAGCTTTGAGGACTACACTATATATAAATATTAACTGTCCAGAAGTACTCCCTCAGTACTTCTTAATACACCAAGATAATTATATGCTACATAATGCAAGATAAAGTAGATGGAATTTTTTCTGTTCAAATCAAATATGTTGTGTAATTGATAAGTTTTGTTTATGTAAAACATTGATATGTCACTTTGGTAACACTTTAGCAGGATTTTTTTGTAAAAAGAGAAGCAAAGAATTTCCTGGAAACATGTTATTTAATGAAGACCTGAATATGTATTTTCTTCAGTTTCTTACAGCTGTGATATTTTCCGATGTATGAAAATTTTGAAACTGATAATGGCTTTTGAATTATGAATAAGAAAGCTAAGAATTTTTGTTACAGAGAATTAATTCCCACCAGTAATTTATTGTATTCAAGAGAATAAATACCATTGTTGTGACTTAACCAAGATTTTGTCATATAATTTGATACAGGAAAGTCTTACTACGTACGTACTTTGCATAGTACCGTAACAGTGCGTTTTGTATTCATTTCTGATGCATAATTTGAAAACAAACTGTACACGTGGTCAGGGACAGTGCATAGATGATCATTTATTGCATTCGTTCTACAAATTTGATAAAGGACCAATAAAACATTGATATAACATTTTAAGGCTCTGTACACATTTCATGCGCAACTGTAGAAACCTATACAGAATTTGACAGCAAGCAAATAGAAGCGGCTGTAAAATGACACATTATCTTAAATCATACAGTAAACCATCTAACTGACCAACTTTTAAGAAACTTCCCTGTTTTCAAACAAATTGTCGGATCTAACCCTTTCTTAAAATTTCTTAATTTATTGGAAGCAAACGGAGTGCTGTGACAGGCCCGTAGCCAGCAATGTCAAAAGGGGGATACTCTTTCTGAAAAAGTGGACCTAGATAAAATTTTACCCAAGGAGACCTTTTCCCGACAAAAAGGGGGTCCTTTTGATCACCCCCCCCCCCCTCCCCGGACACGGGCCTGTGTGATGAGATGAAAATGACCAGCTTGCGTATCACACCTCAACGGTTCGCAAGCTGGTGGACATGACGCCCTCACTAATGTCCAACAAAACAGATTACTGAATGGCTTGTTTACGTCATATCATGCTTGTTTTCCGCGTTGAGACGTAACGGTCATTATCCTGTCAAATGACGCCTGCTGCGATTAACGTCGCCGTTTGCGTAACGTTTAATGGACGCGAATGCAACTTTGAAAGCGTTCTTGCGAACGCACTCCTTCGCGACGTCTTGACAAGCGGTTCAAACTGTTCGTGTTGAAGGGTGTTACCCAACACTTTGTCCAGCGCTAAACGTTTGGAGTTTGAAGAGCAATATTAAGAAATAAATACTGTATATGATAATTGGATTTGACAATTGAAGGTGAATGTGATGTAAGGTTTCTCTTTACAAAATTATTTTGTCATTTATCTTCATAGAGAAAAGATCATGGTAGATAATGAAGGGTCTCTTAATGAACAATAATGTGGGGAAATTTTTTGCAGACAGTGAAAGAAATTGGTTATGTGGATGAAGAACATCTAGTCAGAAAAAGCGCAATTTCATTTATAAGGATACAGATGGAATATTTTTCATCATTCCCATTGTTTAATTGACTGATAAGGAGTAAATTATATGACGAGGTGTTGAGCAATTTAAACGCAAACTTTTGTCTCTACTAGGTGTCTGAAGACGCTTCAATATGTTAAAGAATGGATGGTTATCGCAGGAGAGAAAAGGGAAAATAAAATACACCACAACCTAACTTTACAATCTATAGGCCCACCGCCCTTCTTTAACAGGGGTATGAGTGTCGGTGACCCGATGGGTTTTCTATTTTGTGATATAACATTACTGAACGTACCCGGTCATTCACTCCTTGCTCAAAGCAAGGTAATAAAAGTGCTGTGATGAAATGCCACGATGCATTGCTAACAAAGGAAACGTAGGTTAAATGATGTTGGGGAATATTGATTAGCAACACATTTTGATCGCATTCGGATTCCCTCGAAGACCAAAGTCTAGTTCCATTTCTTTAACTCTTCAAAACAGATAAAAGGAGTGGTAATTTTATTTAAAAAATCCTGGACTCATACCTTGAAAACGGAGGTCACCATCACATGGTCTTCTCCATAAACAGGTGGACTGAAGCTGTGCCGTCTCCGTTGCCATGATAATTTGAATTTTTAAAACACAGAATGAATTGTTGAATGCTACAGAAAACCAGTTCCATGTGTAGTTGTATATGTTCTTGTAACTACCGATTTGATTCTGAGTATCAAAAGCATATAATGCAAAAGTTAATATTTTTATGTATTTTCGTTAAGGATAGATTCATAATAAAGACCCATTAAGAGATGCTTAAACTGCACTGTATTGGGATAGCTCAAAGTTGGCCTTTTTAATTTACTGAGAAACAAATGAAAATGCTCCCAAATTTTTGGATCTCATCATATGTCAATAATGAATTCGAAGTTGCTGTAGGTTTAAGAACATGTCCTCAAAGAGCTCAAAGACCGCTCTCAAAAAGTGGTACCATCTCCTCAACCCTCCTCATCACATTCCTGACCAGTTTCGTCCTCAACGAAAAATGCTACAAAAACCATAAGGAGCATGACTCTCAAGATTAACTGTAAAAGGGACTTGTTCCTCTGTAAATCATGCTGTTTAAAATTGTTAACGTGACCTTGAAAGTAATGTCCCAAGAGTCACGCAAGGGTCGTTAAAACAGTCGCCCAGTTAAAATAATAGAGTCACGTTTTTTTTTTCTTGCGTGTGCGCATTTTCCCTCAAGAACACATGCCAATAATCTCAGTTCGTTCTTGTGTGGACCCAAGGTTTATAATAATAGTTGGGTGACAGTATTGTTTATCAATAAAATAGAATTCTAAGTAAATCACCATTTCAGTATCTCAAGCCTGCATTGTACAATTCGATTAGCTGAGGTATATAACTCGTACAATTTGTGAAATAAACTCGTTTGCAATAAGACATCTATAGGGAACGCTATTGCTTAAAAACAGTCAACCAATAATCAATAACGATTTCGGTTAGAACCGCGGACCTTCTCCTTTTGGACTCACTCATAAGGACTTTCAAACACTTTCAAAACTTTCAGTGTGATCAAAATGTGGGCTCCGGTTGGGTTGTGATCATTTAGAAAGAGAGAAAGAAACCAATATAATAAAATAGAACTTTTTCATCATAAGTGACAGACCAACAGTTATTGACATAAATGTTTTTCTTACACACACGGCTTTTTTTCAACGTAAATGTTTGTCCAGAAGAAAAAAAGAAAGACAACTGCGCCTCTCAGCTGGTATATTATGTAACTGCCTTTCTGCGAGTGAGCCTCAAATTAAAACCTTGACGAGGTGAAAGAATTTTGACAGGGCAAAGAGTGAAAATCCCAATATATTTCGGACAGCAGCAGGTGCTTTATGCCATTGCACAATGAGGTACAGTACAACTGTGTTATGCAAACTACACAATAAAGGTGGCAATAATTACAGGTAGAGGTTCCAGTTTTCTTGTTCTTGCTCGTAATAAACTCTTCATAGCCGTACCGAAGCGTGCTGTGCTTGCACGCATACTGATATTATTGTTAATAATCAATCTGCTCTCGGATATCCCTATCTGATAAGCCCAGAACCTCGACCCTCAGGACCGACCCATTCAATTTCAGTGCAACTGGCGTGGCGCTGCCGGTTTTCTCCGGGTTGCAGTGTCTTCCAGTGCAATATATACTTGAGGGAATTTTTTCTCATTTATTAATACAGACTCCGCTTATTATTTATACGGTGACTGGTGTATCTATAATATCAGCCCATGCTAGCAACCCAGACTGCTTCAAGATAGGTCATTCGAGTAGTAAATCGAGATAGTAGTGCTCAGGTGAGGGCTACACAGTTGATTTGGTCTGCTACGATTTGTGGGACTGCATGCGACGACAGCGGACTGTCAACCGTGACGCACCGAGGGCAAACGTCGCGCTGTCATTTATCTCAGTTACGAGAATGATGAAGGGATTCTCGCCCGTGTAGGACAACGTTGGATGAACACTAGCTGCCTAGGTTGTGAGCACCGGTCTTCCGTTTCCCATCCACCACCGTTACTCTCAAGTCCTGTTAGGGCACCGCAAACTGTCTCTCAATGAAAACTACGGGACAGGCGCCCAGATCCCTATTGGAACAGTATCTCCGACCCTCTCGGAGTATCATATCAGACAGGACTAGAAAACTGCTGCAGACTTGCAGGGAGAATAATAATTATATTACCTCAAAAATGCCCGGAATCGATAAGAGTCCGAAGAGTCACCGAGGGCCTTCGTCGCGTTCGAAAACTGTTATAGTTGTGACCAAAGGAAATCATGTATTATTGAGGAGTCTCCTCAAACCTCAAGAGAAGACACCCTCAGAAAAAGAGAATGACAGCATGCCAAGTAGTAGTGACAGCGACCGAGACGACTCGGAGAGCGAAAAAAGGTGAGTAATTGTTAAATTGCACCAAAAAGGCACTGCAGACACTATGTCTTACAACCGACTTTTCTTTTAATAAAATATGACTTGTTCCTCCACTCCAATATTGGGTAAATTGTTGACTTTTTTCTTGGATCTTTACAGGTAAGATATAGGATCCTATGTAGA